CCATCAAAAGTCCACTGCAGTAAGTTAATCTTATTAACTGACCATCTAAAAACAGCTGAGCCAAACTCTGGAGGGACAAACTGATCCAGTATATCGCCGGTTCTTGGAGGAACAACAGATTCTGAACATTTCTAAATGTTTTCCTGATGATGAGAGAAACTGTTAATTTATGGAAAATTAAGAAATTTGAAGATGAAACATTTCAAAGTGAATAAACAGTTAAAACACTTTAAAAAAGAATCAAAACACAGAAATATCAGAAATGAAAGCTCAAAGTTCTCGTTCTAATGGTGATCTTTGTGCTGCAGCACTTTTGAGAAAACAGGTTTGGTCCATTTTAAAGGTCAGTAAAATCTGTAGATTTCTATAATGGACTAAATGTGTGTGGATATGAAGGAGTCTCTGGGTGAGAGCAGAGGAAGGACAGTAAGGTCAGTCAGTAGAAGAGAGGTTTTGCATGCTCACAGCTCCACACTCTTTAAGAGCGGTGAGTTCATCACTGGAGACTTCAGTCCTTTCAGAGCCCCTCACAGCACAATGATGACCACTCTGATCCTCCTGCTGACCACACTGGGCTTCTTTCCTCAAGGTCAGACTTTATTTATTTCTACAGTCTGGTGAAGTGCTGAGTCTGGTAACCTGCACTTTCCACACTGACAGTGTTCTCCTACAGTTTTGGAGGTTTTATTCATTCTCTTAGTTTGTGTTTGTTCTCGTTCCTTCAGTGTCCCACCAAGAGGTCCAGACTCCTGAGAGAAGTTCTGTTGAAGCAGGACAGTCCGTCACTTTCAGGTGTGTTGCAGATTATGGGATGGGATATGACATAAGTTGGTACCAGTTTAAACCTGAAGCAGCTCCTAAACTGCTGATTTACACAACAAGCAAAAGAGATTCTGGAGTTCCAGAGCGATTCAGTGGAACATACTCTGGATACACCTTTACGATGACCATCAGTGGAGTCCAGCCTGAAGATGCAGGAGAGTATTACTGTATGGGTTACTATGAGGGTCCACGGTTCACACAGTGAACAAGTGTCTAACAAAAACCTCCCTCAGTCAGACGCAGAGAAACTGCACTGCTGCAGCTGCAGCTACTGAACCACACAGTGTTATGCAATTCAAAAATAACAATCTTTGTTTTAGTTTCCTTTGTTGTTTTTCTTCAGATAAAGGAAACGTCCATGTCTAATTTAAACTTCTTTATATTATCAGTAACCACTTATTGTGGTTAAAATCTTACATATTTTTCTTTCAAAGTGTGTGTTTAATTCAGCAGACACTCTTATCCTGAGCAACTCAGTTTGATCATTTTACACAGGTAGGTGAAGGTGGTGTTAGGAGTCTCACCTAAAGACTCTCATTGGTAAAGCGTTTGTCCAGGTGAGGGATTAAACTCCCGTCTACAGCATGGAGGACAGAAGTGTTATCCACTACACTATACCAACCACTAATATTCTAATATTAAATTTTAAAACAATAAATGCTGACTGTACTGATTTAAAGCATATTGACAGTTCAGTTATATATATATATATATACACTGTTTAAACTGTTTATATTTAACTGTTTAAACTGTTATATATATATATATATATATATATATATATATATATATACACACACACACACACACACACACACACACAGTTTAACAGTTTAAAACAGTTCTGTGAACAGAATCAGAGGTAAACAATGAAGAAGTCCACAATGTCAGTAATTAACAAAGTGTTTATTTTGGTGTGATGCTCGCTCCACCATATAAGAATCATCTTTGTGCCAAGAAGCTTTCAGGAAACCCAGCCCTGGTCATTACTGGTTTAATATTTTCTGGAAGTTGATTTCAGCATTAAATAACATTCAAAACATAGTATTTGGAAGATGTTACATAAACCGTAGGCTGACAGATGATCTTATTTTGTTTGTTTCTGCTAAAATAAAAACTTCACTGAATTCTCAGTCTTAACATATAAACTGAATGTGTTCAGTTTTAGGCCATCTAAGTATGCCACTGAAATCTTCAAAAGAATCTTTGAATACTGTCGGGACTAAGTGCGATTCCCGCTTACAGAGCCCCGACATATGTATAATTAAACACTATTGTTCTATAGCTATATTTCAGTTCTTTAATAAATCTGATTGCTTGTTCTCGTCATAAACGCAAAATAAAATAAAGTTCAGTCAAAAATAAAAGAAAGTTGAATAAAAGACTTCAGCCATTGAGTTCTTTTGGAAGGAAGAAAAAGACCCTCTTCTTTATTGAGCTTCAGGTGGCAAGATGGCTTCCGGACAACCAAATGCAAAATACATCACAGAAACATCCTTTTTTATATCCTGTTATATCCTCCCTCTCACCTTTTCTCATTTCACTTTGGTTCCCATTATTTCCTAAGTCTACACTTCAGTTGGTAACCCTTATTTCCAACCGCACCTGTCCTTATTTTTTAAAAACTTTCCATGCTCAGCTATCCCAGCTGCCCCCATTCTTCCAAGGCTACCAGTTAACTCGTGCCTTATTAAACTGGTTCCAAAACTGATTATGACTGGTTCCCTATCAGCTTACCTCACTCTTTGGGGGTCAGCTTGCCCTCACAACAAAGTACACTGGCTTCTAGATGCTTCTGAACTTCAGGGACTTTCCCATGCAAAATCCCATAACCTACACACAGCAAGGCCTATCCTTAGTGAGAGGATTAATACACTTTTTTTAATCAACTTTTAAGCATATAATTATGGATTTCTTATTGATTATAATAGTAATATATTACTTACAATACCACAATACCTTAAAACCAAATTAAAAAAAAAATCTAAACTCCAACATAAACTGCTCAGTTCAGTTAAAATTATTTTTTCTGAAGTAGTTCTGAACATTGCTGGTATTAAAAGTTCTGAAAAGTTAAAAGTTTTGTTTTATTCTCATGTCTTTGTTTTCCTATGAAGGGCCACCCTGATGGTTCTCCCCAATTAAGAAGTCTTGTCAACTGAGCTAAAGTGTAAGCCAAGGGTGACAGTAGCAGGAGAAACTCACTGGGAGCATAAGAACAAAACACTGAGAGGAACCAAGACTCTAAAAGAGAACCCATCCTCCTCTGGGCTGCACCTCATAGTTCAGTTAGGATACCAGTAAACAGGTTTACAGGGAAAATTAAGCAGGCATCATACAGAGGAAAGATTCAATGGTTTTAATGTTAAAACTCAGAAATCTGCCAAAAATGATATACTATTGATTATGACTAATAGAGTTTAGTGTGTGTGAAAAACATGATTACAGATTCTAGAACTGATGATAAACTGTTGTTTGACACTGGCCTGGATATAAATATGTAGAAAACATCTTCACTGCTTTGGGAAACTGTTAAAATGCACTGTCTTTTTTGTATTTGTGTGTATTTTACACAGTACAAGCTGCCTTTACTGCAGTTGTTGAGGAAGATGTTGATGGTACCACATGAATCTATGTTTAGACGTTCATTATCATTTGTCTGAAGGTTTGTGCAGACCAACTTTTCGGAGTCTTCAGACAGATCTTTATCAGAATATTGAAACTATGTGAAGGACGTTCCTGCTTCAAAAGCTTGACTCTCATGTATTTACCCTTTTCTACCAGTGCATCACTTCGATTAAGTGGGAAATGCAGTCTTCCATGCGCTCACGCTTAAGTCAAAATGACCCCTGTCTGGATAAAGACATTCATATGAAATGGCAATTGATAATATGTAAGAGGGCAAACAAAGAATAAAGTGCCCCAAAACTACTTAAAAGCCAAAAACAAGGCTTAAAGAAAAAACGGCTCCAAGCCATACAAAAAGAGTTTGTTCCACAAAGAGCAAACAGATGAAACATCAAGTCTACCTTCCTCTCATCACAGAGGAAATGTCTTTTCTTTTCTGATTATCTTTTATTTCACTTTTCTATCTCAGCCTTTGTTTGAGTACTCTGTGAGGTGTTTCATTTCATTCGTTGAGGTGTTTTACTCACTTTGCCTGTGCTTCCCAGCACAGCGGTAACTCCTCAGACCGCCAATCAGTACATTGGGGGTTCGAGTCTGGCTCTGACCCACCTCAACCCCCAGGTGAACAATCACTCCATCACCTCATTAATTCATTTCAGACACTTTCTCACGGGTTTTCCTCTCTCCACTTGGGTCCGACTCCCTGCCGTCTCATAACAAGATTAGATTTCATCTTAACTTCAAATCATAAGACAGGAACGTTAGAGTGTTATATGTTAAATATTTAACAGTTAACTTAATTCTGAGTTTGGTTCAGTGTACCCGGTTGACACACCCTTGTGGACGGCTCTGCATACATTATATATCTTAAAAGGTAACTCACTTCTGACTCTGAGTCAGGTACTCATTTGATGTGTGGACAGTCCTGTGTACATTATATATAGAAATATATAAGCTACTGGATTTACTGCTGGTAAAAAGACAGTCCTACAAAACTGGATCACACCTGGACTTCACTTGGAATCATTTTGGGCTGTTAATTTACTAAACATAGCAAAACTTAAATGTACTGCTGTACGACTGTTGAAACATGGCAAACATTTGCATTATGTATTTTGGATTTCCTCCAAGGTATTGAACACGGACACTTCCTCCTTTTATTTAATTTTGTCTGATGACGATTGTACCTGTGATCACTTTGGCTCTTTATTTTTGTTCTGGCTGTGTTGCTCCCTGTCGTTTTGTTGTTTATTGTCTTGTGAAACAATAAAACATTTTTGATCACAAAAGAGTTAATTTAATTCTGAGTCTGGATCAGGGTACTTGTTTGACGCCCCCTTGTGGACAGTTCTGTTTATATTATATACCTTAAGAGTTAATTTAATTCTTAGTCAGGGTCAGTGTAGTTAACGCCCCCTTGTGGACAGTCCTGTGTATGCTGTGTAAATAATTCCAGATCAAACTGAAACAGTGAAGTTTGTAAAAGGTTTTATTTTGCAGATGTGATTAAAGCAGTGAATGGAAGTGGAGTTGAGGATGAGAAGGTCTGAGATGGAGCTGTAAGATGATGTAGGAGCTGCTGTCAGCAGAAACACTCGTACACACTGCAGACTGATGGTGGGTGTGTGTGTGTGTGTGTGTGTGTGTTAGTTCTCGATACACTGCTGTGTGTTCAGACTCTTCTTCACTGCTGTGCTGGAGCCGTGACTGACCTCACAGCTCACTGCCCTCGTCTTCCTCCACTGGTCCTCAGTCAGGGTCAGCGTGCTGCTCCAGCTGTACAGGCCGTTTCCCTGCTGCAGCACGCCGGGGCTGACCACCACACCTGAGCTCCACCTGCTACCGTCCACCTTCCAGCTCAGCGTCCAGTCTGAGGGAAAGCCCTTACTGACCAAACACAGCAGTGTAGCCTTCCCCTGCCGGAGCTCCTCACTGGAGGGGGGCAGCAGAGAGAGGGAGGGCCGAGTGACACCTGGACACACCAGAGAGAGAGAGAGAGAGAGAGAGAGAGAGAGAGAGGTGAATAACAGAATTTCACCGTCCAGCAAGTCACATCTTTGGTTTCCATGAAAAGTTTGGAGTAAAAGCTTTAATTCATGCTGTCCTGCAGAATTTCAACACTGAGCTCCAAATAGTTTTTAGTTCTGAATGTTTTAATTTTGTCCATTTTAGGTTTTAATTGTCTTTTAAATAAAGAGTTCAGTTTATCTGCTCACTGAACATTAATATCAGTGTAACTGTTGTGGAAAAATGCAGAAGTTTCTGTTCTCTGAAATGGTCATATTCGGTTCTGTTAGTCGTTCTGAAGAACTTTCACTTCCCTTAACAGACTTTATGTTCATAATCAGAACAGTTCGGTTAGAAAAGCAGCAGCTCATTAAAACTAATTTCACTTTACAATAACTGCTGGGACTAATAATACTGTATTAACTAAAAAATAATTGAGTCTGTTCAACAGACAGTGTGTTTATAAAGAACAGCGTGAAGCAAAAATATCATTAATTACAGTAACAAGTACAATAATTACATTCTGTAATAAATAACTACACTGTAATAAACACTTTTCTAAATTCAATCTAAAAATGACTTAATGTGGGAACAGTTTAACTGTGTTTTTACAAAAAATACATTTTGTAAAACTGCAAAACTGTTCAAAGCAAAATTTGATTAAAAGTGATTTTACCACAAATCAAATCTTAAACACATCAAATGAACTGCTGCCATGTTTCACTTTTTACAGTGTAAAAACTAACTAAATGAGCCATTTAATAATATTAAAACAGTAGAAATAGTTGAATTTCAATAACAGAAGAAATTTAAATTATGAAAAATATTCAGAAAATATTTAGAGAATATATTTACAACAATATAAACAAGCAAAAAGTCACTTATTTAGTGAATATTCTAAAACTATACTCTGCCATTCAATATTTCCACATTTTCATTATGTGGATAAACTGAAAGAATGATTTAAACATACAAGGTAATATTATTTTAAATTGTATTTTATTAAAGAAGCTAAAATACATTTTCATATTTGAATATTTGTATCGATATTTATATATTTATATCCTGAACTAAATTCTATATTATGAAGTGAATAAAAATTGACTCACGTCCAACAGAGAGTTTAGTTCCTCCACCGAAAATCCTCCACAGTGATAGAAACTCACTGAGTGTCTGTACAAAAACCTCCTGCACTGAAACTGCACTGTTTAACTCAGAGAAACCCAAACCTTCTACAGGATCTCCATCATCTACAGCAGTTTACAGGAGCACAGATCACACTCACTACAGATGATGGTTCCAGCTCATAGTTTACTGTTCAGTTTATTATCTACATTAATTTCTGACTGTAGTGATGTTGAATCTCTTTCCTGCAGAACGCAGACCTTTTTCTGCTCTCTTGATCAGCAGGATTTCCTCAGTCGTTCAGTTCAGGAGATCAAATAATCGCTCTTACAGTCTGACTCTGCACTTACGTCCAACATTCGGTTTGGGTCCTCCATCAAAAGTCCACTGCAGTGAGTTAATCTTATTAACTGACCATCTAAAAACAGCTGAGCTAAACTCTGGAGGGACAAACTGATCACAGTATATCGCCGGTTCCTGGAGGAACAACAGATTCTGAACATTTCTAAATGTCTTCCTGATGATGAGAGAAACTGTTCATTTATGGAAAATTAAGAAATTTGAAGATGAAACATTTCAAAGTGAATAAACAGTTAAAACACTTTAAAAAAGAATCAAAACACAGAAATATCAGAAATGAAAGCTCAAAGTCCCACAGTTCTCGTTCTAATGTTGATCTTTGTGCTGCAGCACTTTTGAGAAAACAGGTTTGATCCATTTTAAAGGTCAGTAAAATCTGTAGGTTTCTATAATGGACTAAATGTGTGTGGATATGAAGGAGTCTCTGGGTGAGAGCAGAGGAAGGACAGTAAGGTCAGTCAGTAGAAGAGAGGTTTTGCATGCTCACAGCTCCACACTCTTTAAGAGCGGTGAGTTCATCACTGGAGACTTCAGTCCTTTCAGAGCCCCTCACAGCACAATGATGACCACTCTGATCCTCCTGCTGACCACACTGGGCTTCTTTCCTCAAGGTCAGACTTTATTTCATTCTACAGTCTGGTGAAGTGCTGAGTCTGGTAACCTGCACTTTCCACACTGACAGTGTTCTCCTACAGTTTTGGAGGTTTTATTCATTCTCTTAGTTTGTGTTTGTTCTCGTTCCTTCAGTGTCCCACCAAGAGGTCCAGACTCCTGAGAGAAGTTCTGTTGAACCAGGACAGTCCGTCACTTTCAGCTGTGTTGCAAGTAGTGGGATCGGTTATGACATCAGTTGGTACCAGTTGAAACCTGGAGCAGCTCCTAAAATGCTGATTTACACATCAAGTAATAGAGTTTCTGGAGTTCCAGAGCGATTCAGTGGAACAAATTCTGGATACACCTTTACGATGACCATCAGTGGAGTCCGGCCTGAAGATGCAGGAGAGTATTACTGTATGGGTGCTTACAGTAGTGTGTCCACACAGTGAAAAAGAGTCGTACAAAAACCTCCCTCAGTCAGACGCAGAGAAACTGCACTGCTGCAGCTGCAGCTACTGAACCACACAGTGTTACTAATATTATAGTTATTATTCAATCGCAGTTCTGTTTTTATTTGTCTTCATTGTTTTGCTTTAACTACAAAAAACTTGTTTAAATTTTTTAATCTTCAATATTCACTTTTGAAAGTATTTGAGTAATTTTTACATAGCAATTTTAAAATAACAATGCAATTTTTTAAAGCATATTAACAATTATTTGAATATAAAAAACAATCATCATTAGCTATGTATTCAGCATAATCTGCCTCATTCTCACTGAAGTCTCATAACATTTTTTTTTTATTTTTTTTAAATAGACATCTTTCAGGAAATTAAAATTGAATTTTTAAATGTAATCATTTTTGGGATTCAGTGAAAGATAGAATTGTTATCTGCATAGAAACTTTAGAAATAATATGTTTCTTTAAAAATTGCACTAAGAGCAGGTATGTATATAGAAAATAAATAGGGCCTAAGATGGAACCTTGAGGTACCCCATATGTAATGTGTACTGGAGATGAACAAAGAGTGAAATGTTCTATCTTAACAGAAAATATTGTGTCTTTCAGGTAAAAGGTAAACTAATTCAAAGCAGTTCCCTGAATTGCACCAAAGGTAAGGCCCATGAAAAGATCCATAATGCAATTTGGTTGAAAAACAAGAAGGTATATTTTAAATATAAAGAACTGTCAAAAGGTTAAAATAACTAATCACATTTGTTGTGTTTGGTTTTTTGATGCTAAGATTTCTTTCCATTTATAAAGCAGTTATTGAGTTATAGCTATGAGCAGGCACAGTTTGCTTCATCAGAGAGTATTTATTACTTTCAGTAATTCAACACTGACTTGAATATTAATTCACATGAAAGCAGGGTGAACATTAAAAATACAGTGAACACAATCTCATTTTCATTACTGATGTTCAATGAGAGCAACAGTGTCTGAATGTTCCAACCCATGAGTGTGTATATTGAATGTATAATATATACAGTTAATGAGTTTGTACATCATATATATCCAGAGTTGGGATAGCTACTGAAAAATTAGTAGTTAGCTACTTTGTAGCTACTTTCCCGAAATTTGTAACTGCTACAATTTAGCTAATTTTTCAGAAAAAATAATGGCTACTTTTTAGCTACTTTCAAAGCATGATTGTCAGAATGTTTGTGAATCTCCACCTGACACACCAAACAAGCCCAACTGATAGTGTGAACAAGACACTGCATTTAATCATGAGCCAGAAAGAAACATATGATTGAAAAGCTGCAAATATACAAAAAGATCACCAAAAAGTGAGTTTAGGTGTACAATCAAACTTACACAACCAAAGATGTGATAACCAACAAAAATTTAGACTAAGTAAAGGCAAAGTCAATCATTCCAGGTTTTCCTAACAAAAATCAGCAAAAATAACCGAAACCAAATAATTTTTCTCCAATTTGAATATTTCAGCAAGATCTGTACAGAAATGACATTCAGAGTCCTTTATTAAACTTCAGCAACGGCTCCTGAGTGGCGCAACCGTCTAAGCGTTGGCCCTATCATCAGGAGATCGCGAGTTCGATCTCTGGTGATGCTACAGCCGTCCATAGCCGGGAGTCCAAGAGAGCACAATTGGCCTCGCTCTCTCTGGGTGGGTAGGATGGCCCCTCCCTCTACCCCCATCACTCAATGCGATGCTAGTCAGCGCAGGCGTCTGTTAGCTGACATAACAGATCTGGCGGTTGGCGCTTTCCTCCGAGCACGTTCGGCTGTCCAATGACGTTGCGTGAGCGGCAGTTCGAAAAGAAGCGGTGGTTGGCTTCACAGGTCTCGGAGGAAGCCTGTGCTAGCCTTCACCCTCCTAGCGTTGATGGTATTGTGTGATTGGGGGAGTCCTAACTAGCGGGTGGAATTGGAGACGACTAAATTGGGGAGATAATTGGGTAAAACTTCAGCAACACTTTAGCTTCAAAATCCTCATCAGTGACCCTGACTCTGCACAGTACTGTTAGTAATAGTCTATAACAAAAATGTTTTTCCGCTTTAGCTAAGCCAGGGGTTGGCTCTTTAACTGCCCTTTTGCAGCTCCACAGCGGCACATTTTTAAGTAAAATAACATAATCCTCCTCTACTGTAAAATAAAGCTCTGCTGATCATTATAACACACACTTGTAACAATAAATGTTCTTAAATGCTGGAGTTGATGTAGAACTGCTAATTCACCCTTTAACCCTGAAGATCAGCTCAGACTGCCGGTCACACAGCGACGCAAACAACTTCACCCAGCTCGTAGCTACGGAAAGGGCAAAGAGAAAGATTTAAGACGAACATCGATAATTTGGAGACAAATTGACTTATTTGTGTTTATAATCACTCCAGCTGGTTTCCTGATACATTTAATCTACAATGAGAAACTGTAAAACATTAAGTTGTGAAGTCGCTTCTCTTTCGCAGTACATTCTGGCAGCTCAGGCACCATTTAAGGTGGAACGGGACAATTTGAACAAGAAGCTGGTGAATGAGAAGCGACTTCAGCCTCGTAAAAAGCTGAACGTTGAGAGACATTTTACAAGGAACTCTACTTTCACAGAAAGGTTTCCTGACTGAGATGTGAGAAAAGCAGCTATAGCTGAGCTAAAGGTTCAAGCAGAGCAAAGTAAGTCTGCATTTTACATCAGCACATACTGAGACATATTTACAGTCATGATGGTAAAACAGACATAAAATGTTGTGGCTCCCAAGGTGGTTTCATTTTTGTTGCAAGGACAAAATGGCTCTTCTTAACATTTGGCTTATGTCCCCTGAGCTAAGCCTACTAGTAAGCGTTGATCCATGCGTGACCGTTTGCTCGAACTGTCCGCGGGTCAGTCATTACTGCACAGTTGCCACCAGCCCAATTACCGACCGCATTCTATGGTTCAGATTTTGCGCGGATTGTCTGAAGCCTGTAGTGAAATTGTCGTAAAACTTATCGCTATAGCTATATAAAAACTTGTAGGCGATACAGCTTTTGTTACATTTCATAAAACTGTAGTGGCTACAGCTACTAGCTACAAACATTTGTAGTTAGCTACTCCCCCATTCCTGTATATATCATATATAGTCACTGAGTGTATATATCAGACATCAGATTTAAAATCCTACAAAGCCATAAATAGACCAGCCCCCTAGCTGATGAAATGGTCAAAACTCAATCTGTACCTTGAACAATTAAAGCTTCAAGTACTGCTCACCACCATCCTTCAGGAAGCATAGAAGATGAGTGTCAGGACTCTTCTCTGTCCTGGAGCCCAGTTGGTGGAACGAATTTACTGTCCGAACAGCGACTCTCTCACGGTCTTAAAATGTAAACTAGTGAGCCAACCAGGAGCTGAGCTTAAACACTGAACCAGCATCATGTTCCAGCAGATCAATGGAACAATGGACCAGAAGTTTTTGTCTTTTACTCTCAACTTTCATGGAGGATCTGAAAGCAGGTGCAGTCCACTAAACCGGACCATTCTCAGAAGCACTGCCTGGAGGTTCGGGTGCTAGTTAATTACAGTGAGATCTGCTGTGGGACAGAAATTTGACCCTGTAAG